TTAAGTAAATTTTCTAAAACATATTGAGTATTATATTAGTTATATATATATATATATATATATATATATATATATATATATATATATATATATATATATATATATATATATATATATATATATATATATATTCTTTATTGCACTTGTAAATTACAATGTTAATGCATTTATAAATATTGTGAGCAAGGGTGGACTTATCTCTGACAGAGATCTCTTCCAGTCAACCCAATGCAGTTAGAAAACATGTTGCTAGCGGCTATATATGGTATATATATATGTATATATACTAGTGGCCCGTCCCGGGTTCGTACGGGTGGACATTTTTACAACATTTTTAAAAGTGGTTATTGTAACATAACGATAAATGCACTCAACAATATGTTTAAAAATATAAACACAAAGCAATAATTATCGCTGACAATTTGCTTTAATCGAAGCACGTCCAAAATGAAATGACCGCATGAATGACATAACAACACGCTTGTACTGTCAACACTGAAACAAGTTTCAATTTGACAGCACAATACCCATCTTAAAAAAGTTTGAATTTGTCACAGAAATCCCTATTAACAAAATGATCCGCCATTTATTGAATTGTTTTGTTACAAAAAATGTAATAAACGAAGAATCGCTCGACCGATTTTGTGCAAACGTCACACAAACCATCTACTAAATAGTCCAAACAAAGCCTAAACATTTGGTTTGGATAGGTCAGCCCGTTCTTGAGTTATAAAATTACAACGAAAAGTGGCATTAATTTTAGCCAGTTGTATTGGCAAACAAAATAACGCTCTTCTTTGATTAGATTGAAATATTCTATATATTATTCATTATATATATTGCCGTGTGGTCCCGGTATAGAATAGGCCAGCTCTTCCTTTCCCGTAGGTGTTCATGGCAAAATCCCGCAAAGGGAGGCTTATATATGATATGATGATAATGAAAGATGATTTATACTCTATTCTAAGATTTATTTTGTACAAAAATCGATTGCTTTTGTCCCATTCGTATTTCAACCGTGAAGCAGTTGTGTTTGCATGACTGTGTTTCGGTTCGAAGGATGGGATATGGCGTGAATTTACTGGGTACAGAGAATTACTGAGAGAATTTACTGGGTACTGGTAACACCTGAGTCCTCAGGAATGGCAACGCTATCATGGGAGAAACAGTATACTCTGTTATGTCCATGGTATTACTCATGTCTATAGGCGACGGTTACCACTTTCCATCAGGTGGGCTTCAGCCCACAGTCAGCTTGTTTGCCATTCTAAGTTGTATAAAACATTTATTTACAATATTTAGCCTTAAAAAAGTACAATAAAAAAATAAATAAAACCAACCCATTTAATTATATAAATAAGGGATTTAATAGAAAAAACATTCCCGCGTATTTACATACGAGTATTACATAAAAAATGCTTAAACTTTTACTCAAATTTATTCCAGTTATCTTTTAATTAAATCTGGATGTAGCGTTGTAGTTAATTCAAGTATGTTTTTATTACACTTTATATTACTTTATAATTTAAATGTAAAAAAAGCACGGAATATATAATAACGCTCTTTACCGCTGTATGGACTCAGCTTAGAACGGACTATGCCTACCATTCTCGTGGCTGTCGTAAGAGGCGACTAAGGGAGTCGAGGGATGGGCAATGGGCAAACAGCATTCCTTTTAAAACATTAATTACCAAAGCTAAACTGCGATTGCTAACCTATCTGCCAAGGGGGAAAGGGATTGTTAGTAATAGAGACTGAGAATCCCATTGCTAGCAATATACCCAACCAGGTCGACCTCCTCGCGGTTCCCCCTGGAAACTATCATGGTTAATTCCTGATGAATACATCATGATAGGCTAACTGGCCTGTTTTCATACTCATCAATCACCCTTCACTGGTGCTCCGCTTGCGTATCCGGTTAGCGCAGGCGGGGTTACCATTTCATTTCTACCCATCAAAAAAAAACCTATCTGCCAAGCATGGCTACTGCTGACAAAATCACGCAATAGTCGGAGGCTTGTCCGACTTGACCCACTGAAACTTGATGCGCAGAGATGTTGCATCTCTGTGCATCTTCTACCGAATTTATTATGGGGAGTGTTCTGAGGAATTGTTCGGATTGATACCTGCTGCTGATTTTCACCATGATTTTTACAACCCGCCATAAACTAAAATTTCATCCCAACCACCTGGACGAGTGGCGGTCTTCCACCGGGCGTATCTCAAGACACTTTCTTCCACGCACAACCGCTTTTTGGAATCAACTTCCAGCAGCAGTATTTCCGAACGACAACATAACCTTCGAGAAAAGAAACCTTCCTTTTAAAAAGGAATATACTCCTTTTTAAAAGGCCGGCAGTACACCTGCAATGCCGTTGGTGTTGTGGGTGATCATGGGCAGCGATAGTCACTTACCATCAGGTGAGCCGCATGCTAGTTGTAAAAAAAAAATTATGAAGGAATCATTCATAACTATTTATCATAAAGAATTGTATAAAAGAGTTGACTAGCTTTTCTCGAAATATTTGTATGGAGGCATTTTATCTATGTAAAGACAGACTTTCCAATAAAATAAAAAAAATATTCAATACAATTTTATTTTACATTCAAAAAGGAAATATATTTATTTTATACGTTTTCGACATCCCTGATATTGCCTGTACGAACTGGGATAAGAAGTATTTTATATGTCATCACAGGATAAGATCTGTCCGTATGCAAAACCCTATCGAAATCCGTTAAGTCGCTTAAAGGTGATGGAGTTACAAAAAAATTTCAAACATCTTTAGACACATAACCGTTTGCATTATCAGTAACATGGGGGCGAGTAATCTGTTTATTCATATTTATAGGCAGGGCCCATAAAAAGGAAGTTTTTTTTTTCATTTTATCTTTTTTGCTTCATCTTTTTTCAAAATACCTTCAATCGATAAAAATGGATAGTACACTTTGTTACTGATTATATAATTTCGAATTTATAATCATTATAAAAAAAATTACACAATAATAAAGTTGAAAAAAAAAAAGTTATAAAACAAAAAAAAATCTTTATTATGGTACTCATATAGACACACTCAATTACTCACTAGAGGGAGACTTTGTACAAAAGTCGTTTGCTCGGGCACCTCTGTCCCATTTATGTTTCTATGGTGAAGCAGTCATGTTTGGGCTGTGTTTCGATTTGAAGGGTGGTATATGGCAGTGAATTTACAGAGTACAGAGGAATAACATCTAAGTTCTCAGGAATAACACACATGGGGAAGGGGTATCATGGGCAAAACATTATATTCTGTTATGTCCATGGTACTGCTCATGTCTATAGGCCACGGTTACCACTTTCCATCACGTGGGCCGTCAGCTCGTATGCCATTCTAAGTTGTATAAAAAAACATACCTAATATTTGTATATTTATTTTTTTATAAATCTACTGCCTTATTCCAAATGTGATTTCAGTTAAACCAAACGGGTAGGAAATTCAGCTGTCTCTTTTTTTCTATTATCATAAAAAAAACATTTCATATTATCAGACACTTTCCTTTTTCAATTCACATACTGTCAATAAAATTGTTCTGAGAAACAAAGCTTTCAGTTCATCTTCAAATCATACGCGTCATCGGTGCTCAATGCACAGAGTTCTGTTGACCCTAATTCCTAGATTTGTCGTGAACAATGTATAAAACCTTATTGTCTCCGACAGAGAGTGATGTGCGTAAACGTATAAAGGTTTTACATATATTTTTACACTAGTTATATCCTGCAACTTCGCCCGTGTGCATTAACATATAAAGTTTCTTATGTAACAAGATATATATTAATTTTATATGTAAACTTTATTTTTAAATCTAATAATTTTCACAAAAAAAACCCTACTGCAATTATGTCAAAACCATTTTTTTAATCTAAAAATTAAAATAGTAAACAGAGAAAAACTATCAAATCTTGAAAGAATAAAAAAGAAGTATTAAGAGGGACATTGCTGCCTTTTCTCTCTTTTTTTAATGGATGATAACGGAATGGTTACTCCGCCTGCGCTATCGGTATACACTGGCGGGGCACCAGTGAGGGATGATAGATGTTGATGAAGCATATCAATTGGCCCATTATGACAAATTCAACAATAACTCAATCAATCGTGATCGTTCTCCCTGATAATCATCGGGTTACCAGGGAGAACCACGTGGAGGTCGACCTAATAGGGTATATTGCTAGCAATGGGATTGCTAATGTCCATTACCAACAATCTCTTCTCCTACCCATCCCTCTACCATTAATAAAACTGTTTATAACTACTCCTCTCCATCCAAGGCTTGCCTGTAAGAGATCACTTTTAGCAATAAGACCGCCCATTGTTTTCTCACTGTGATTATTTCTTGTAATTGTTTATATTTATAATAAGTTTACTATTGTAATCTTTTGGAGGAAACAATAAAGAGTATCTATCTATCTTTATTCTATACAGATTCTCTGTATTGTCAGAATACGATTTCGTTTACATCTAACTTTAGACACATTTCCTTTTATAAATGCAATTCGATGGTCTTATTTCACGAAAATAATTTGTCACCGTTATTCACAAGATCTTTGTTCTGACACCGAATGAGAATGTTCTAAAAAAAGAACATTGTTATAAAAATTCGTTTGTAGCATAAAATATAATGTTGTTAATATTTTTTTTCTCCGACTCTCTTGCCTCTAGACAAAATACTCTTTGTATCTAGTCAACTAATCAATTCAAGAACACAAAGTTCGTTGTCGAAATACGTTCTATTTTTAAAATATTTCCACTGTGAGTCTGTGGATGATAATGGACGCTTTATGAAAATAATTTGTCATCGATATTTGAAAGACTTTTTGATGTCCCGAATGAAGATGTTTTAAAAATAGAATAATTTTTTGTATCAAGTTCGAATACAATTTCATACAAGTAACAGTATTGACTTGGCATCTGTAAGATTAAAATTGTATCTATAATTTTAAAATTGTATCTATAATTTGAGTCAGTGAGTGACCGCGCTAACAAACGGTCGGTGCATTAAGGAGCTGTTAAAAATGGCCTCTAATGTGATTAAATGTAATTCGTGTAATGTAGTTATAAATGAAGTATTAGCGTTCATTATAAACAAAGTGGATGTTATGGACGAAAAAAGTATACATTTAATATGTAATAGTGCTTTCTCACCGGAGGATATATCGACCGCAAAAAGTATGCTGTTCGACTCAATACCGACTGCAAAACGCAAGATACGTCGCAAGCAGGGGAAGAATGTGCGAGAACTGGACGATATTATAGATCTAATAAAAAGTACGAACACCGAGGATATGCCTATTTTTGTTGCCAAAGATTTGCATAAACTCCCGCCGGTCACATTCGACCATGTAGATGTTACGGGTCTTTTAAAAGATATTGTAATGCTGAAAACTGATCTTAAACACGTTCATGAAAACTATGTCACTGTCGATGACTATAATCAGTTGAAGATGGGTATGGAAAATTTAATGCATGCGTCTGTCATAAATGATTTTCAATATATAAATAAAAAGCGAGGAGCGCAATTTGGAAACAGTTTTACATGTGATAGTGGGCCTATGGGATTGCAAAATATTCCTGTATCTAATACAGATGAAAAAATTTGTGACAACAAAATCTTATCACCGCAAAAAAAATACTAAAAGTGTGATGGAGGGTACAACACAAACTTTGGATTATGAGAATCAACAGCGCATGACGGTATCAATCGAAAAACCAGTTTCGAGCGCGAAAACGGGACCTACCATGAATGTAAAAGTCACTGGAGTGAGAAGGAATCGAGATCGATCACGTATTATGGCAGAGGTACTAAGCCCAACTAATACGAAAGAAGGAGAACCAATAGTAACAAAAAACGATTGGACGTATGTTACTAAGAAAAAGGTTAAGAAATACAGATTTATAGGACAATTGGGAAAGGCGTCTACGGATGCGAACGGAAGGTTTAAGGCAGCTGAAATTAAAGTACCACTTTTTATATCTAACGTATCAAAAGATACGAAGGAAGAGGACATAAGTGAGTACATAAAAAAGAAGACAGGTGATATAGTTACTTTATATAAAATAAACACGAAAAAAGAAAGATCTTACAATTGTTATAAATTGTTTGTTTCTAAAAATAAAATACAGCAGTTTTTGAATGATGAAATTTGGCCGGATGGTATATCTTTCAGACGTTATGTCTACCTAAAACATCCAGTTGGTAAAGGTGAAAATAATAATAATAAAAATGAATAAGAAAAAAGATATAACGCAATTTGTAACTTATAATTGTAAGTCAATTAAGCGTTCTATTGAAGACGTTAGACGCTTGTGTCAGACTACTGACCTGGTGGCACTTCAAGAGACTTGGTTGCTTCCACATGATATTCCCTACCTAGGACAGGTTCACGACGAATTTGAATATACAGGTAAGTCGGCTGTGGATACATCCGCGGGAATACTTCGTGGAAGGCCATACGGCGGCGTAGCTCTGTTATGGCGTAAGAACGTGATTCACGAAGTGTCTATTATTCAATGTGAGAGTGTGAGACTTGCGGCGATTAGGGCCTCGATCACTGATCGATCTATACTTGTATTCAGCGTATATATGCCTACCGACGCAACTGACAATTTACCTGAGTTCGCCCAGTGTTTAAGTGAAATAAATTCGATTATTCAGAGTACGGATGTTGAAGCTGTTTATATACTGGGGGATTTTAACGCACATCCCGGTGAATTATTTGCTAATGAGTTATCTAATTTTTGTAGTGATCAAAACTGGACATGTGCTGACATTGAATTATTAGGACTAGACTCACAAAGTTATACATTTATAAGTGACGCTCATGGCTGTACACGATGGTTGGACCACTGTATTGTTACACAGGCGGCCTGGAGTACGGTTACAGATGTAAATGTGGGTCGGGATATTTATTGGTCGGATCATTTGCCATTAATTTTGAATTGTGATCTTAGTGTTGTCAGACAAAAAGTGTCACTGACGACACAGTATAATAGTTGTAAGATTAAATGGGGTGAAAGAAATAATGATCAAACTAATAGATACCATGATCTATGTAACAGTAAATTTAAATTAATGCATTTTCCGGAAGTTTTTGAATTATGTGCCGATAAAAGTTTTAAGTTACCGGAGCACAAAAGCTATTTAGACAAAATGTATTCAGATATTATTAAAGTGCTAACAGACGCCGCTTTACAAACTAGTTGTGTGTACGGTAAATGTGTAAAAAAGAATGTAATCGGGTGGAACAGACATGTCCGCGATGCATACAGGGAGGCCAATCTTAAATATCAAAAATGGATCTTTTATAATAAACCACAGTGCGGGCCTGTATATAAAGAAATGTGTTTAAGCAGGAAAATTTATAAAAGTAAATTACGATGGTGTCAAAATCATCAAGAGCAGATTAAAATGGATATCGTGGCTTCACATCACAGATCTAAAAGATTTAATAAATTCTGGAAATCAACAAATAACATCAATATAAGGCCTGGTCTGCCTGCTCGTGTCGCGGACTGTAGCACACCTGAGATGATAGCAAATATGTTTAAAAAACAATTTACAGTTGTTTCGCCATTGGGACCAGCGCAATCAACAATATACGCTGAATGCGATGGAAGTGAGGATCTGCTTCGTTTTTCTAGCGCTGAAGTGGCAAATGCCATTCGAATGATGAAGAGGGGTAGGTCTCCCGGATATGATGGACTCAGCATAGAACATCTCAAGTATGCCGGAGTGCATCTTCCGCGAGTTTTATCAATGTTCTTTTCCTTTTGCTTAAGTCATGCGTATTTACCCATCAAATTAATTAAAACGGTGGTTGTGCCAATTTTAAATAAAAAATAAAACTGGTGATATCTCTGACTGTAACAATTATAGACCTATTTCACTGGCAACTGTTGTATCTAAGGTGTTGGATAGTTTGCTTGACTCATATTTGAACAAACATCTACATTTACATGATGCTCAGTTCGGTTTCCGTCCTGGGCTATCTACCGAATTGGCAGTTCTGAGTCTTAAGCATACTGTGCAGTACTATACAAGCAGACAAACGCCGGTATTTGCATGTTTTCTGGATCTTTCCAAGGCCTTTGATCTTGTATCTTATGATATCCTCTGGGAAAAGCTTAAAGACAATAACGTATGTAGTAGACTTATTAATATATTGAAGTATTGGTATACCAATCAGGTAAACAACGTTCGGTGGGGAAATGCGCTTTCCGAGGAGTATAAGCTGGAATGCGGAGTGAGGCAAGGTGGTTTAACCTCGCCCAAGCTCTTCAATTTGTACATAAATGATCTGATTGTTGGACTCAGCAGTAGCCGTGTTGGATGTCACGTAGATAATGTCTGTGTCAACAACATTAGCTATGCTGATGACATGGTGCTGCTGACTCCAACGATTAGAGCCCTAAGACAGCTTATGTATATGTGTGAGACGTACTCAGCGAGTCATGGGCTAAAATACAATGTAAACAAGACAGAGTATTGATATTTAAGGCCAATGGTAAATGTCCCACGCACGTGCCCGATATCCAATTACACGGAGCAAATATAAAAAGAGTGCATAAATGTAAATACCTAGGGCACTATGTTACTGATGACCTTAAAGATCAAACTGATGTCGAAAGGGAGCGTAGGGCATTGGCTGTTAGATGTAATATGTTGGCTCGCAGGTTTGCCCGTTGTAGTGAAGAAGTAAAAATCACACTCTTCAAAGCATACTGCCAAACATTCTACACGAGCAGTCTGTGGGTTAACTGCACACAGGCCTCACTCAGTGCCCTACGAATCCAGTACAATAATAGTTTTAGAGTGCTGTTGGGGCTACCTCGCTTTTGTAGCGCTTCTAGCATGTTTGCTCAATCTCGCGTAGATGACTACTACGCTGTAAGGAAAAAGAGGACTGCATCATTGCTAAACAGGGTTAGGACAAGCACCAACAGCATTCTAAAAATAATAGGTGAGAAATATAACTCGCCTATAATTGGGCATTTCATTCAGATGCTGATCTAGTCGGCCGGGTCACGTCTGGGTGAAATGCTTAATTAAATCAATTTGTTTTTCTTTTTTTGTTTTTTTTTACTAACATAGTTTGTAAGAAAATTGTTACTAACAAATTTGGACCGCATTGTAGTCTGCATAATAAAGTATTATTATATTATTATTATTATAATCTTTCTTCAAGTACTTTTTTTGTTTTTATTACCAGAGGGAGACTTTGTACAAAAGTCGTTTGCTTATGCACCTTTATCCCATTCGTGTTTCTACCGTGAAGCAGTTGTGTTTCCACGGCTATGTTTCGGTTTGAAGGGTGAGATATGGCAGTGAATTTACAGGGTACAGAGGAATAATACCTGAGTCCTCAGGAATGGCAAGACATGGGGGTATCATGGGCGAAACAGTATACTCTGTTATGTCCATAGTATAGCTCATGGCTATAGACGACGGTTACCACTTTCCATGAGGTGAGCCGTCAGTTTGTTTGCCATTGTAAGTTGCATAAAAATAAAACTTAATCGATTTATTATTTAAAAACGAAAGTCATTATTCGTAAAAATATTTTATTTATTACTTTTAAGATTATTTTACACATTTATTTATTTAACACTTTATTTTTACCAATATGAAGTGACTCGTTGAAGAATTTTTTTGCTAATATTCCGATTGATATTACATCTTCTCTGGACTCATCTCAATCTCGAGCAAAAAAATTACTAGAGACTAATATCGGTTGTTGTTCTTTAAGATTTAAATTGTCACATGTTAGCCCCTTTCATATCATAAAAATATTCAAACAGCTAAATTTAAAAAATACGGAAGACCTTTGGGGCATGTCTGTAAAAGTAGTTAGTTCTTTCATAGATATTGTTGCTCCATATCTAGACACTATTTTTAATAAATGTATTGATAATGGCGTTTTTCCACATTTAATGAAATTTAGCAAATTAATCCCACTATTTAAATCAGGAGATAAATTTGAGCCAGGGAACTATAGACCTATATCTATTTTGCCAGTACTAAGTAAGGTGTTTGAAAAGATAATGTTAAATCAAATGTTACATCACTTCAGGGTTAACGGACTGCTTCACAGTCAAAATTTCACCGCCGGCAAGTCTACCACTGACGCAGGTGTTGCGCTAATGACACATATGTGTGTCGAATCTTGGGAGAGGTCACAGGATGCAAGTTTTTTGTGACCTATCAAAGGCATTTGATTGTGTGGATCATAAAACGCTTTTGTACAAGCTCGAACATTATGGTATAAGAGATAATGATCTAAAATTAATGAGAACTTATTTAGAGGATAGGGTTCAAACTGTAGATATTGACGGTGTAAAATCTAAGGGAGCTAATATTAAGATGGGCGTTCCACAAGGGTCAATCTTAGGCCCCTTTCTCTTTTTAATCTACATAAATGACCTTCCCTTTATGGTAGAGAAAATTGCAGATATAGTGCTGTTTGCGGATGATACTTCGTTAGTGTTTAAAATTGGACGTCAAAGTAATCAATTAGACGATGTAAATTGTGCTATGTCTGCAATATTAAATTGGTTTACATGTAATAACCTATTATTAAATTCCAGCAAAACAAAGTGTATAAAATTTACACTTCCTAATGTAAGACTAATAAATACACAGTTATTGCTTAATGACGAAATAGTAAATTTTGTTAATGATACAGTTTTTTTAGGTATAACAGTGGACTCGAAATTACAATGGGGGCCCCATATTTCAAAATTGGCCAGTAGACTCAGTTCTGCTGCATATGCAATTAGAAGAATTAGGCAATTAACAGACGTGGCGACGGCTAAACTTGTATATTTTAGTTATTTCCATAGCATAATGTCTTATGGCATACTGCTGTGGGGTAAAGCAGCCGATATAAATACTATATTTGTTTTACAAAAGAGAGCCATACGTTCTATTTATGGTATGGGTTCAAGAGAGTCATTACGTCAGTGCTTTAAAGACTCAAATATCCTCACAGTTACTTCAAAATACATTTATGAAAATATTATGTATACACGGAAGAACTTAGCGAGTTTTAAAAAACTCAAAGACTGTACAAGTAGAAACTTACGCAATATAAATAAGCTTATTTTACCTAAATGCCGTCTGCACAAAATCAGTGTGTGTGTGTGTGTGTAATTGCATGTGTGTGTGTGTGTGTGCCGGAATCTGCATGTGTGTGTATGAGTGTGTGTCAAATCTTATATTAAACAATTTTTATGTAAGAAAGCCTATTACAGGATAGACGAATTCATAGATGACAACATATCAAGTAAATAATTAGTTTATTAGCATACAACGTTATAATTTTATTTTCTCATTGCTTTCTTGATTTAATTGATTAATTTTAGAAATATGAAAGCGTAGCGGTTTTTTGCATTAATTGCCGCATGCATTCTTATGTAAAATGTGAATACTATAACTATCAGATGGCAATTGTGAGTAGCTTTGACGTGGTCTAGTGTTTTGAGTAGTCATGCTCACTAAAATGTCCAGACTTGTGGCGGCGTGGTGGGCCGGGTCATTGGGCTCCCTAAAATATGGTCGAGCGCAGTGATGGCTGGCTCATCCGTCATACTCGTGAACGGGTGCTGCTTGTAGGGACTGGTCTGCTCTAATCACTATGACTGATTTCCTCTTATT